CTTACACTATTTGGATGTGTACTTTTTATATCTCTATGAAATACAGGGCTGCTAGGAAGGCCCTCGGTTGTTTCTTGCTTTCACTTGTACACTCCAATTTCTCATTCAAAGTCAGCTCTAACATTATCTTTTGCTTTGGAGTCAACTGGACCTGGCTTCCAATTCCAGCTCTGCCATTTGCTATCAGTTTGACTTTGGGCAGGCATTTCACCTTGCCTCAGTTTCATCATCTGTAAAGTGGGAATAACAAGGATAACTACTTTGTGTGGTTACTGTGGAGATTAAATAAAATAAAATATATGTAAAGTGCTTAGACCAGTGCCTAGAACACAGTAAGCAGTTGGCAAATGCTGGCTGTTATTACTATCCTGCTTTATCACCTGAAACAGTATATGGATACCTTTATATATCAACAGATCTATTTCTTCACTGACATTTTTAATGATGGCATTGTATTCTATAGTAAGAATAAAGTATATGTTGTTTAACATGTCCTCTCGTGTTGGACGCTGGGGATGTTTCCAGTTTTAACTGTCTAAGCAGTGCCAGAGAAACTTTAGAAGATAAAAGTGGTCTTTCTTCTCTAGGTGTTCACTATGCAGCTTAGATTTTACCCTTCTCTAAAGCTGGGTGGGGAGCAGATAAACTCCCTGTCTGGGAGCTTTTCACCTGTGCCTTTTTCTTTCTTTTTTTTTTTTTTTTAAGATAGAATCTTGCTCTGTCACCAGGCTCCAGGCTGGAGTGCAGTGGTATGATCTCGGCTCACTGCAATCTCTGCCTCCTGGGTTCAAGCAATTCTCCTGCCTCAGCCTCCTGAGCAGCTGGGACTACAGGCACGTGCTACCACATCCAGCTAATTTTTGTATTTTAGTAGGGATGGGGTTTCACCATGTTGGCCAGGATGGTCTCGATCTCTTGACCTTGTGATCCACCCACCTCGGCCTCCCAAAGTGCTGGGATTACAGGCATGAGTGACAGCGCCCGGCCTCCCATGCCTCTTTCAAAAGATGATCTTGGAGCTGGCCAGAAGTGGGAAGTGGGAAACCTGGGGAGGCAATCAAGCCTGAGTGTGAATTCAGGCTCCTGCCAAAGAATTTCCGCGGGAAATTCTTTAACCCCACTGAGCCTCAGTTTCCTCATTGTCAAACAGGGATCACAGGAGTACTCCCTACCCCTTAGCTGAGGGTCTGGTGTGTGGCAAAATCTCAGTCATCGTTAGCTCTGGCCGCCACCATCATCGCCATCTTCCTCATTATTCTGGTGGTGGCAGCCGAGTCACATAAGCCAGGTTACTTTTCACACCCTAATTCACACCCCTTATTCCTGTCATCCATTTAATGGAGTGTACATTCAAATGAGGCTTGTGGTCTTGATTTTGAATTCTGTCTGGAACCCACAGGTTCAAACGCAAAAGGGCCCTCTCTGCAAATAATCACTGGTGTGTGATATTTTTAAGAAGCCAAAGCCATTGTTTCTGATTGAAGGAAAGTTTGTGCTATTTTGAAGAGCAGCACGATTAAGCGGTGGCGTTATCTCTTTAACCATTGGGAATTATACGCTGTTTGAAAGATTTGTGAGCTCTAGGACATTTGCCAGATGTGCTTGATTCGACATTTCAGACAACAAAGGGGATAATGTTGGCGGGAATCTTGACGGCATTTCTGATGATCAGGATATTCTTCGAGGATGGTACTGAGACCTTTCGGGGAAGAATTTCAGCTTTTACATAAACTAATTTGGGATGCTCACTCTCTGTCTTCCACAAAGCAAATTTAGTTCATTGTTAGTTGTATATGTTAAAATGGTTACGAGGGTTTTTTCTTTGAATATTAATAATGTGTCTTTCATCTGAGACACTCGCATGGGGTATCATTAATTGGGAGGAGGGAGTAAAGATTAGCGGTACAGTTATTTTGCAAATGATTACTACTAGTAACATTGAGGCAAGCAACAGCTACATGAAAGAGATACTCATACAAACTGCCAGTGAGGCTCTAGCTTACCCTTCCTAAGAGGAACGACAGGGACGTGTAGGAGGGGGAAGGGCTAGAGTTCATCTCCCAATTTCCCATCATAGTAAAGGCCATTCACCCAAATAGCTCCAAATGCTTCTTTATTAGCTCACAGTGTATAAAGGAGTGCTTTTCAAATAAAGTAACATCTGATTGTGGGGACTGTGGTGTTTTTGTTTTAAAGCTCTAGCATGGACATTTTCATTCACTTAGGAATCTTAGTGAGCTCCCACTGGGTGCCAGGAACTGTGCTTGGTGGAGGAACAACAATGAATCACACATGCTCCTACCCAGACAGGAGATAGATGAATACGGAATAAACCAGGACCACGTAGCTGGCAAGAAGAATGAACAGGACAGGCTTTGGGAAGATTGGGGTTTGAATCTGACTCTGTCACTAGCTGAGTGACACAAGCAAGTTATTAACCTGAGACCAAGCGTCTTCATTGCAAATTGTAAAATATGTCTCATGCAGATTACCCACTTGGGGTGGCAGAGAAGAGCATATGAGGCAAACTGTTTGTGGTTGTTGTTTGTTTGTTTGTTTTTTGAGATCAAATCTCACTCTGATGTCCAGGCTGGAGTGCAGTGGTGCCATCTCAGTTCACTGCAACCTCCATCTCCCAGGTTCAAGGAATTCTGCCTCAGCCTCCTGAGTAGCTGGGACTACAGTTGTGCGCCACCACACCCAGCTAACTTTTGTATTTTTAGAAGAGACGGGTTTTACCATGTTGACCAGGCTGTTCTTGAACTCCTGACCTCAGGTGATCCGCCCGCCATGGCCTCCCAAAGCTCTGGGATTACAGGTGTGAGCCATCGCCCCTGGCCAAGGTAAGCTGTTAAGGTGCTTGGCACAGAGGCTGGCAAGTATCCTCCACAATAAGCATTCCTTTCCCAGCTTGTCTCCCCAAGCTGTGGATACACAGGCGAAGCCATGTGCCCTCCTTTGAGGGGTACAGGCAAATCTTCCTGGCCTTCTGTTATGTGCTAGGCATTGAGAGACGAGGAGGACTGAGATGGGTGGAGAAAAGAGGGAAAGGCATTCTGCGCTGGGGGAGAGACAAGGTGAGAATAGGCAATAGGAAGTGCTGGTGTGTTTATCAACGGATGCCAGCTGGTCCTGTCGGACTAGAACATGGGGCGGAAAAGACAGCAGGATGGAACATGGACTTTCAAAGTTAGGCTGGGGTTCTGAGTGCCATAACCAAGGATTTGCAGATCCCAAAGTTTCAGCAGCACCTCATTTTCCAAGTAAAACTCTTGAGGCAGAAACACAGCATATCCAGGCCCATCTGTCGCCCTAGAGACTCCTCTCAGGCACTTAAAGAAAGCTTAACAAATCCCAGGGTCTAACTCCTTTCTCTCCGACCTGAGTCAATAATTATCGTAATGATAACAGCCACAGTTACTAATTACAGGACACCTGTCTTGGGCCAGGTGCTGTCTGATGTATTTTGAATAGTCAATCTCATTTTTTTCTAACCGTAATTTCTCCAGTAGGTACTACCACAATGCCCCTTCTACAGATGAAGAGACAGAGGCTTCAAGGGGAAAAACAACCTCATGATCACAGAGCTGGTCAGTGAAGATCCAGGACTGGAGGCCAGCCTGAGGCATGGATTCCAGGCCAGGCTTTTCACCACCACGCCGTGCTGTCTCTCTCACCTCTCCCAGCTCTCCGGCCTCTGTGGGGCAAGAGATCCTAACTCAGTCTCTCTTCTGTTTTGTTTTTGCAGTATTGATTAGAACGTATAATAACTGTCTACAGTTGCTATCATTTATGGCTTTATGGTCTCAGGGTAAGCAGCAGTAGGGTGCAGCAGAGTGACCGCTGGGCTGTGGTTAGATGGGAGTGGGTTTGCATTTAAGCTTCACCATCACAAGTCTGTCATTCATCATTCCAAGAACTTGTTTCCCAATCTCAGGATGAGCCCGTTCTCAGCTCACTGGATGTGTGAGAAGTTTATGAGATGCGAGGCCCATGAGCTCAAAGGCTTTAAGGTGGGCACCAGAAATGACGGATGCTGCTAGGGTCACACAGCAGGGAGTGGTAGGGATCTGGGCAGTGCATGGTCCCACCTAGGTGCTCAAACCCAAGTAACTTCAAGAATTGGACCAACCAGACAAAAATTGCAACCAGATTTGTCCTGAGAGCCACTGGGTTGAGACCTCTGACAGATGTTAAACTGCTTTCAAAACTTGATGTGCATAGAAATATAATGGATTGTTTTTATTATTCAAAATTATAAGTTGTCTATCATGTGCCAGGTATTGAATTTGGTATAATTATTTGAATAATACGAGGGACCTGGGAGCAGGTGCTCTGCCTGCCTGCTTGCCTGCCTGCTTTGTCTTTTACAGACATTTAATCAGCTCCAACTCATGAGGCCTGTATGAGATGCTGGGGACACAGTGATGAATCAGACATAGTCACAAGGTCCGTTCCCTCAAGCTGTTCCCAGACTAGTGGGAGAGATAGGCTAATAAAGATACTTCTGCTTTCCAGGGCTACATGCTATGAGGTAGGCTTAGAAAGCACAGAGGAGGGACGCCCAACCCAGATACAGCAGTGGAGTCGGGGACAGAAGAGATGATCAGCAAAGGCTCCTAGAACAATGGTCTACCAACAACTGGTCCCACCCTTGAGAAGGTTGTGAAATCAATTTAGTGCCTAGCAACCAGCATTTAAAAAAATAAATAGAATAGAAAATATCAGGTCAAGCACAGTGGCTCACACCTATAATCCCGGCACTTTGGGAGGCCCAGGCAGGTGGATCACCTGAGGTCAGGAGGTCAAGACCAGCCTGGCCAACATGGTGAAACCCTGTCTCTACCAAAAATACAAAAATTAGCTGGGTGTGATGGTGCATGCCTGTAGTCTCAGCTACTCGGGAGACTGACACAGGAAAATTGCTTGAACCTGGGAGTCAGAGGTTGCAGCGAGCTGAGATCACACCACTGCACTCCAGCCTAGGTGACAGAGTGAGACTCCATCTCAAAAAAAAAAAAAAAAGAAATGAAAATATCATAGAATGTTGCATGTACAAAATACATCACGTATGCACGTGTGTATGTTCTGGATCATGATGTAAAACATTCCTTACTGTGGATCAAAGGTTTGAGAGCTATTGTTAGACTATGTTGCCTGCCCTGAACCCCAAAGCCTGGCTTCAAAAAATTTTGATACATGGAAGGATGGATTTAAAATCTCACAGCAAAGGTGACTCTTCTTCCGGTGGCCCAGCCCGTGACCTGCTGTACAATAAGCATTCCAGCTCTGACCCACCCAGGTGGCATGTGCTTCATAATAGCAGTGGCTGAGGCCCTTGTGTTTACTCTGGGATGGCCTCAGTCACCCATCTCAGGTCCGGAGGCCCAGCAGCCTGCGCCTTCAGGATGCCAACAGGAAGCACTGTTTGTGGGGGCAGATTGGAATGCAGCGGAGAGAGGTCCCTGGCGAAAACAGAAGAGGGACAGGAGCCTGAATCAGTCCCTCGCAGGGTGAGGTGAGTCAGGGGTAATGACTAGGTGGCCACAAACAGAGACTCCTTTTTAGTGGTTTCTCAGGACACTCCGAACTTCATCTGTCCTATAATATTAGGACCAAAATACTCCTTGGCTACCTTTCTCCTCCGTCATAGACTCTTACTTAAGAGGAAAGGCCCTAGAAATTATCCAGCTCAACTCTCTCGTTTTACGGAGAAAGAGAAAGGGGCCCAGAGAGGGCAGGCATTGGCCCAGGGTCATCCAGCAGGCAGCCCGAGAGCCGGGGCCAGGACCAGGAACCCAGGTCACCTACCCCATCACCCTGAGCCCATGGTCCTTGGCGTGCTCCTCTCTCCCACCATCTTACCAGAAGGCTCTCCTACCTAATCTTACCTCCTTTGGCCTCTTCTCTATATGTAATCAAAGAAGTCTTTCTAGAGAACAAATAAGTTAGGATGCTACCTGCCTAGAGCCTTCCCTTGCTCCCCCCTGCCTTAGGGTAAAAGACACCCATAATCTTTGCCCTCACCCTGCCCACCTCTCGGGCTTCCTCTCTTGCTCTTCGTCCCCTTTTATACTGTTAGTTCATGCTCCTGAACTACTTGGAGCTCCCTAGATATGACATGTCCTCTCCCAACGGTGATCATACTGTCCCCTCTGCCTTTAACACTCTTACCAACCCTGCTGCGTTTGTCAGCTCTTTTTTAGGTTATAGAGTAGATCTTCATTTTTCCAGGAAACCTCCTTGGCCTACCAGACTCCAGGGTAAAGTGTCCCTACTGAGTTCTCTGGCAGCAGCTCTATGATGTTATGATCCATGTTGCCACCAGTTTCTCCTGGCCCCTGAGAGAAGACTGGGTATAGAAGACAATTCTGCCATCCCTTAGAAGAAAGGGAATGCTGTTTGGAAACCAGCAGTTCTCCAGGGTATCTCTTGGTACTTCTGGTGACCATAGTAAAAATTAATAAAAAACGAACCCAACAAACTACATAACCAACAAAGGCAGGATCACTAAGGGTATGGACCCTTCAGGAATGAAGGTTTTGATCACTCTGCTAGGTAAAAAGCCAGGCCAATGGAAGGGTGGGCTGAAGGCCAATGGAACATGGGATGAATAATGGAAGAAGGAATTTATAAATATTAACTACAGCCTCATGACCAGTTACAGAAAGAGAACTATAGAAGTGATACAGTTTTTTCTCCTTGCTTGTATGTGCATGTATATCTGTGTCTATGTCATCTATCTTTCCATTTATTCATCTATATACACATTTGGAAAGCACAGAGGAGGGAAGCCCAACCCAGACACAGCAGTGGAGTGTGAAACAGAAGAAATGGACAGGCTGACTGAGAGGCGGAGCTTGCCATGAGCTAAGGCTGCACCATGGCTCTCCAGCCTGGGTGACAGAGTGAGACTCTGTCTCAAAAACAAACAAACAAAAAACAAAAGAGACCAAGCACAGTGGCTCACGCCTGTAATCCTAGCACTTTGGGAGGCTGAAGTGGGTGGATCACCTGAGGTCAGAGTTCAAGGCCAGCCTGGCCAACATGGCAAAACCCCATCTCTACTAAAAATACAAAAATTAGCTGGGCATGGTGGCACATGCTGTAATCCCACTACTTGGGAGGCTGAGGCAGGAGAATCACTTGAACCACAAGGCAGAGGTTGCAGTGAGCCGAGATCCCGCCATTGCACTCCAGCCTGGGCAGCAAGAATGAAACTCCACCTCAAAAAAAAAAAAAAAAAGCTACTGACTCTCAGCCCCAAAGTGACCCTTCTATACTCAACTTGGCAATGCTGGGACCAGAACTGTTTGAATGTTAGTTTTACCAGCCGGCTCCTTGTTAGGGGCTGTAGGCAGACAAAGTCTTGCTCCTTTCTGTTGTCCTTGTTGTTCATGCCAGGGGCATCTCAGCAGTGTCACTGCACTTCCAGTTTCCAGTTTTTCCCACACTCCTAGAATCGGCTTCCTCTCTCTCTTAGAGGTTCCACTGGGCAGTGCTCCCCGCCGCCAGAGGTCTGGGTCCCAGCTCTGCAGGAGCCATGCTCTGAGCTCCCAGGAGCCAGCCCCAGCTGCCCTCTGCTCAGGGGTCTGGGTGGCAGGTCCTGGGGGTTCCCTCTGTTAACCTCCTAGGTTCTCACAACCTAATCTCTTCCTTTTGTCCCTAGTCCTTGAGGGGTGGCTGCATCCTTCAGTTCTCTGTTACCTCAATGTCTTCCTTTGCTTTTCCAGTTCCCTGGTAGCCACCAATTTCCTGATATTAAATTATTTCCATTTTTCTTCTATTATTTATTTATTTATTTTTGAGATGGAGTCTCGCTCTGTCACTCAGGCTGGAGTGCAGTGGTGCGATCTTGGCTGACTACAGCCTCTGCCTCCCAGGTTGAAGCAATGCTCCTGCCTCAGCCTCCTGAGTAGCTAGGTCTACAGGCACATGCCACCATGCCTGTCCAGTTTTTTGTATTTTTGCTAGAGACAGGGTTTCACTGTGTTAGCCAGGATGGTCTCAATCTCTTGACCTTGTGATCCACCTGCCTTGGACTCCCAAAGTGCTGAAATTACAGGTGTGAGCCACTGTGCTGGCAAATTCCGTTTTTCTAACTGAACTCCTACTGATACAAGTAAATATAATGCAGAGTTCTTTCTCACACGATCTTACAGTCTAGTGGGAGAGATACAGATTAGGCAAATAATTATATTTAATTATGTTGAAATAAGTGCCATGAAGGAAAAGCACAAAGTATATTAGCATATTGAAGGCCCTGAGAAGTTCTGCAGTAAATAAGCCTGGTTAGCATTCTTTCGGGCAACTTCTCCTTGTCTTATTTGACTGAGAAACTTCATGGTGAACTTATGAGCACCGAGCAGAGTTAGTGTGCTACGGAGTAGTGCATTGTGCAAATGGAAAAGGGAAGTCATTGAGAAAATGTGAGCGGGGGACTTGGAGCGTGAGCATTGCCATGTTCCTCCAGTAAAATCCAGTGGGTTAGGGGCAGCTCAGCTCCAGGATTCCAGTCACAGGATCAGCTGACAATTCTCCTTGCCCTTTTTTTTTGAAACTGAGTCTCACACTCTGTCTCCAGGCTGCAGTGCAGTGACACAATCTTGACTCACTGCAACCTCCGCCTCCCAGGTTTAAGCGATTCTCCTGCCTCAGACTCCTAAGTAGCTGGGACTATAGGCGCATGCCACCATGCCCAGCTAATTTTCGTATTTTCAGTAGAGATGGGGTTTCACCATGTTGGCCAGGATGGTCTTCATCTCGTGACCTGGTGATCCACCCACCTCAGCCTCCCAAAGTGCTGGGATTACAGGCATGAGCCACTGCGCCAGACTCCTTGCTCTTATTCCCACCCCACAAGGCACCTTTCTGGCCATCGCTGACTTACTGAGTAAATTTCCCTGTAGGGAGAGGATGCTCTCATTCACCACCGCAGACGTTCTGGTCTACCTGGCAGTTTCTTTCTCATTATAGAGCAAGGTTTCTTGACCGAGGTCTTTTTTTTTTTTTTTTTTTTTTTTGAGATGGAGTTTCACTCATGTTACCCAGGCTGGAGTGCAATGGCGCGATCTCGGCTCACCGCAACCTCCGCCTCCTGGGTTCAGGCAATTCTCCTGCCTCAGCCTCCTGAGTAGCTGGGATTACAGGCACGCACCACCATGCCCAGCTAATTTTTTTGTATTTTTAGTAGAGACGGGGTTTCACCATGTTGACCAGGATGGTCTCGATCTCTTGACCTCGTGATCCACCCGCCTCGGCCTCCCAAAGTGCTGGGATTACAGGCTTGAGCCACTGCGCCCGGTGACCTAGGTCTTTAGAGGTACCATCCATCCCTTAAGACTATCTGCAAAATGTGTGTGTGTGCATGCATGTGTGTGTACATGTGTGCATGCATGAACATTTTTCTGGCAAGAGGGTCCATATCTTTTGATATTCCTAGTGGGAGTGTGACTCCAGAAAAGGGAAAGGCTAGGAATCGCTGCACTCAAGGAAAATGTTTCTATTATTTTGTATATTGATCTCCTGTGAGTGTGGTCACTGTCAATGGGTTCTTCTCAGTCTGATCAGCCTTGTGTTGACTCACCAAACTGAGGTTCTGGATTCTCCAAGATACCTACTTCCCCGGCTAAAGGACTAACCAACCTTCTTGGACCTCAAGGGATCACTCCCCTCCAGGCTGCTGCCTGTGCCATTTCCTCTCGCTGGGAAACCATCTCCCCAAGCCTTGAGATCAACTTCCAGTTTCTCTTTGGGTCTCAGCTTAGAAGTCATTTCCTCCTTGAAACCTTCCCTGACTTACCGCTTCAGGATGTGATGCCCCTTCTTTGTGCTCCGACAGCATCTGTCCCACCTCTCTGGGGCTCCTACTTTCCCTTCCCCACTGTTTTTCCCTTCATTGTGTTTGTCCCATGATGCAATTAACTGTTTACGGTTCTTCTCTGCCACCTTTAGAATGCAAGCTCCACAAAGAAGGTAGACTGTCCAGCTTTGCTCGCTTTTCCCCCATCACCACGCACGGTGTCTAGCATACAGTAGGTGCCCATTTAAATAGAAGGAATGTACGCAAAAATAAGTACCTTAATCCTTTCAGTGTGACTTTATGTGCCATCACAGCTAGACCACAAATGTCCTTCAACTTCACTCTAGGACTAGGTACAGATTTGCCAGCCACGAGAAGTCCAAAAAATTCAGGTAATCAATTTTTGTCTTTTATCAGCAAAAGCTTCTTTCTCATCAAGTGCATGCATAATTTGTACATGCAGATGCGCATACTTATATGTGGGTGAAGAGAAAAACGAGCTGCAGTGTTGGGAGAAACCTACCTGCGTTTCTCAGAAAGCGGTTCCTATAGTCCTTGATTACCCTCGTGACCGGGTTATAGAAGCCGTCTCCACAATCATACCAGCCTTTGGGGACTTTTCTAGGTGGGTCCATATTGGTGAGTTGAGCCATACCTTGAAAGAACACAATGGGCAATTAGTTCACCATCAAGGCCAAATCCAAACCCAATGCTCCCATAAGGTCCACTGGTGGCTCATGTGACTATCTGGCTCCATTGTTGAACTTAAATACCCCCTACTCAGGGCAAGGAGCAAACCCAGCAGAAACAGTGCCCCAAAGGAACTTTCTGAAAAATGGCTCTATGGAACAGGGTCTTGGGAACTAGACCCTCTGTCTTCTTCTTCCTTTGACCCCATTCTCCTCCATTTCTTGGGATACCATGACAAAGGGCACAGGTTCTAAAGCCAGACAGACCCTAAGGATGGGTCAGAGTTGACAGATGGGTAGGAGAGCATCATGTCCAGAAGATGGGCGGCATTCAAAGCATGGGCAGAGGCCAGAGGCATGGATCCTTAGGCCCCACTCTGGAAACCTTGTAGAGCAGAGCACATGTGAAGGAGAACAGCACTAAAAAAATGGATCAGGTGGACAAGGGGTAGGTAGGTGGTGAAGAACCTTGACTCTCACCCAAATTACCATGGTGGCTGCCACTTATTGAATGTTTATTATGTGCCAGGCATTGCGCTCCTATTTTATTTAATCCTGTGAGCAACTCTGCAGCCCCATTTTACAGATAAGAAAACTAAGGCTCAGAGAAGTTAAAGTAACTTTCCCAAGGTTATCCAGCTAGGAAGCAGTCCAGCTCCGGAACCTGTATGTTCAGCTGCCAATGTCAGGGGAGGAGAGAGCCTAGGTGCAGCCACAGGACCAGGGACACTGGGATCTCTGGGAGGGAAAGAAGAGTGAGTGCACCTTTTAGGTCATGCACCTTATGTGTGTGTATCTTGAAATACCATGGCTCAGGTAAAGGGAGAGGTTGGAATAAAAAACTTCTGAGGTTCCTTCTAACTTAGTTCCTATAATTCCTTGTTCTCTGGACTGAGGGCTGGATGCCCACTGAGCTCACAGCACCATGTCCACAATTCAGTGTCTTGCACACAGTAGGTGCTCTTTTTTTTTTTTTTTAGATGGAGTTTCGCCCTTGTTGCCCAGGCTGGAGTGCAATGGTACGATCTCAGCTTACTGCAACCTCTGCCTCCTGGATTCAGGCGATTCTTCTGCCTCAGCCTCCCGAGTAGCTGGGATGACAGGCATGTGCCGCCACACCCAGCTAATTTTGTATATTTTTTTAGTAGAGACAGGGTTTCTTGATGTTGGTGAGACTGGTCTTGAACTCCCAACCTCAGGTGATCCACCCGCCTTGGCCTCCCAGAGTGCTGGGATTACCAGCATGAGCCACTGCAGCCAGCTAGTAGGTGCTCTTGTGTTGATTAATGACATACCTATCCCCAGACCTGACACTGACCCTGACCCTGACCCTAACCCCATGTGTACTGGCTAATGTTGACTGAACACTGACTCCATGTCAAGCACTTTACAGCCATTCTCTCACTGAAGCCTCATGCCAATGCCCATCTCATGGATGCTCAAAGAGGTCGCAGGATACTTTTTTTTTTTTTTTTTTTTTGTTAGGAGATGAGGTCTTGCTATGTTGCCCAGGCTGGAGAGCAGTGGCTGTTCACAAGTGTGATCCCACTAGTGATCAGCACAGGAAGTTTTGACCTGCTCGGTTTCCAGCCTGTGCCAGTTCATCTCTCTTTAGGCAAGCTGGTGGTTCCCCACTCCCGGGAGGTCACCATATTGATGCCAAACTTAGTGCAGACTCCTGATCGGCATAGTGCACTACAGCTCAGAACTCCTGGGCTCAAGTGATCCTCCCACCTCAGCCTCCCAAGTAGCTGGGACTACAGGCACATGCCACCATGCCTGGCCACAGGACACTTTTAACCCTCACTTTGCCTTGCAGGCAGGGCGAGTTGCCCTAACAATGCCAGCCCCAAGAGGCAAAGTGTGGAGTGACAAGGGAAGGAAGTATCTACTTAGAATCGAGCTGCTCTGCTGAGGGTCACTGGAGGGGAAGGGGAGAGCCAGGCAGGTTTGGGGAAAGCCATGACAGTGCCTTTGAGACTGGCAGAGGCTCAGCTTTGGCAAAACCAGCCAATGTGTGAAAGCAGAGGCCTAAGGCTGAGGGCTTTTTGCCTACAGCCTTAATTGGGGTGAACAGCCCATGACAAAGTCCAGGCCTCCCATCATAAGTAATTGGGGAGGAGCGATTTGCAAGGTTCCAAAGTTGCAGCCAGATTGGCAGCTTTTTGAAGGAAGAGATGATGTCCTTTCAGCTCTGGGTCTCCCTGGGGCCAGCCAGTGTCTGACATACAGTAGGAGCTTAGGAAATGTTTCTTAATGTCATTGCCTTAACTCCCCTGTGCGCATACTTCACCCTGCACTGTGATGTCGATATCATTATCCCTGTTTGACAATAATTCTTTAATGCACACCAGGCAATATGCTAGGGCCCTGCCCTCATGTTGCTCACAGCTGGCTTGGGAAGATGAGCTGAAAACTCATGATCCAAGCCCTGGGGGGAGATTATAGTTGCTCTTTGATATTCCCCAGGGAGACCTTACCTGGAGTGGGAATTCAGGGAAGGGGGTCCTAGCTTCAGGACATGGAACTGAGATCTGAAGGATGGGAAGGAGTTATTTGGGTAAAGTGAGAGCGTTAAAGTATTCCAGGCAGAGGCTGGAAATGGTGGCTCATGCCTGTAATCCCAGCACTTTGGGAGGCCAAGGCAGGTGGATCACCTGAGGTCAGGAGTTCAAAACTAGCTTGGCCAACATGGCAAAACCCTGTCTCTATTAAAAATAACAAAAATTAGCCAGGTGTGGTGGTGGGTGCTTATAATCCCAGCCACTCAGGGAGGCTGAGGCACAAGAATCACTTGAACCCAGGAGGCGGAGGTTGCAGTGAGTTGAGATCACACCACTGCACTCCAGCCTGGGCAACAGAGCAAGACTCTGTCTCAAAAAAAAAAAAAAAAAACAACGTATTCCAGGCAGAGAGAATGGCAGGAAAAAGTGTGGTCTCTTTGAGAAATGGAGAGAAAGCAAGCATGCAAGAGGGGCAGAGAAAAACTGAGAAGGGTGGGTAGCCCAGGATTAGGCTGGGATATCAGCAGGGGCCAGGGAATGTCAGCATTTCTGATAATTTGAAACCTTATTTTGAGGGCATAGGAGGCACTCAAGGGTGTTGGGATCAGGGGGCAATCAGATTCACATTTTAAAGGATGTAAGTGGCCAGGCATGGTGACTCACACCTGTAATCCCAGGTTGAGGAGGGAGGATTGCTTGAGGCCAGGAGTTCTAGACGAGCCTGGGCAACATGGCAAGACCCCATCTCTATAAGAAACTCAAGAAAAATAAAATTCACCAGGAGTGGTGGTGCATGCCTATAGTCCCAGCTACTTAGGAAGCCAGATCTCTTGGCAGGAGGATGGCTTGAGCCCAGAAGTTCAAAGTTACAGTGAGCTATGATCTCACCACTGCACTCCAGCCCGGGCAACAGAGCAAGACACTGTCTCAAATAAATAAATAAATAAATAAATAAATAGAATAAATAAAGATGGAAGTGGCTGCAGAATGGAAAATGACCTCAAGGGGGTCAAGTGGGAAGTCAGGTCATCAAGGGGAGCGATGATGGAGGGCTGGAACAGGGCAGTGGCAGAGAGACTATGAAGAGAACGCTGACTGGCACGTGGAAGTGCTCAATAAATATTTGTTGAATAAACAAATGAAAGAATACATTTCAGAGGTAAAATCCTTAGGGCCCAGTGATCGATTGCACTTAGGGGACGAGGGAAGGGAGGATTAGGCTTGCCTAGGTGGATAGGCATGCCACATTCAGGGAGGCAGCCATCACGGTGGGAGTGACAATGAATTCAGTGCAGAGAAGTTGGGGAATGACCAATACAGGTGTCAGGGAAGCTGGCTGCAGGGATCTGAGGCTCAGGGATTCTGATTTCAATTTAGAAGCTGATGGTAGTTGAAGGCTTAGAAGTGTATCAGCTTGTTCAGGAAGAGTGTATAGAATGATAACGAAACAGTGCCTAAGCTAGAGAGCCCCGGGAACCTCAACATGAATAATGGGGTGGGGGGAAGTTGAGGAGGTATTGGCAAAGAAGACTGGGGATAGGAGGAGAATAGCAGAGGAAGTGTCAGGAGGGCAAAGGGAGAGAAGGTGGCTCACCTGGTCAATTAACTGACTCAGGTCATGAAGCCGGGAAGGGAAGGAGTTGGGGGTTTGAGCTCCGGTCTGCCTGACTCCAGTGCCTGGGGACTTCCTGGAGACTTCTGCCCTGATGGAGGTTGACTTGCGCAGGCTCATCCAGCTATTGACAGGGAATGCTAGGGCTCAAACCCACGCTTTCTGGCTCCATGCTCTGCCAACTATAGCACATGGTCTCTCATAACCCAAGTTGGGATTGTTTTTATGGTATACAGAGTTGTTTTCCCATCTGTCATTTTGGATACATTATTTCCACTGTGCCAAAAACTACACTCTTCTTGAGGTTCCCTTATCTCAAACACATCCCAGAAACACTCAGATGAGCCTTTTAAGGTGCCAGTCTCTGAATCCAGACAAGTGGCCCAAATGTAGCCCTCCGTAATGGAACACGGTGTTTTGCAGAAAGGACACATGATACAGGGGATCTCAGAGAGGAAGACTGGGTCTCCAGTGTGAGCTCTGCCACTGGAAACTGTATCTGGACTCCACAGCCTCAACTTGGAGTGACATGGGACTAGGAAGGCTCACTGGGTCATCTGGACACTAGGGAGACAGAGATTACAGAGAGCCTCCCCAGCACCTGATACACAAAGCACATGCTCTGTCAGTACTGCCTTTGCCTTTACTTCTTTCTTTTTAAAATATTTACATAATTTATGGTTACAGTAGGTACTACAAATAAGAATAACTGATATGTATTTTATCATATGTGTATTTTATTGTATCATATGTGTACCTGCATGCATTAAAGGCACTGTTTTAAACACCTGACATGAATTATCTTATTTACAACAATCTTGGGAGACAGATGATGCTACTGACCCCATTTTAATCTCTTTTTTTTTTTTCAAGACCAGAGTTTCACTCTGTCACCCAGGCTGGAGTGCAGTGACGCGATCTCAGCTTACTGAAACCTCCTGAGTTCAAACGATTCTCATGCCTCAGCCTCCCAAGTAGCTGGGATTACAGGCATGCCACCACACCCAGTTTGTTTTTGCATTTTTAGTAGAGATGGGGTTTCACCATGTTGGCCCGCTGATCTGGAAGTCCTGATCTGGCATCTGAAAGTGCTGGGATTGCAGGCATGAGTTATCGCACCCAGCCGATTGACCCCATTTTGAAGGGGAGAAACTGAGGTGCAGTAGGTAAAGTCCCTTGCTCATGGTCCTCTGGCTAGCACAGTGGAGCTGAGATGTGAGGATTGGCCTTACTGGCTCTTTTGTATTCTGTGCCTGCTCAGTTCCTCTTTCCCTTTAAGTTACGTCAGTAGAATACGTTCATTTCATCTTAATAGCACCAAAAAGCAAAAACAAAAACAAAAACAACAAAAAAAGTTACTTCAGTAGGCCATAGTCCACTTCTCTGAAACTGTCTTTAGCTTCCCTCTTTGAGGATGAAGGAAAGGGTGGGTGCTTGGGTACCTGCGGGCTTCAAGCCATTGCGAATCTCTGTGAAAAACCTCCGATCATAGCCATCGCAGTAATGCCAGTTCTTCTCATCATAGTGCAGCCCATCTGCGAAGGTGTATGTGCCCTGCAAGACAAGGAGCACACACGTGTGTCTGAGGAAGCCGAAGGCTTTTGGCCAAGAGGTTTGGATGTCAAGGAAAGAGGGGGCTTTCTAATGGCCACTGTAAAGAAGTGGTAACTGTCACAATTATGGTTGTGACCACGAGAGGGAATGGGTGTAAGTGCTGGGCTCCGTCCGTGCCACTCAAAGCAGGTGAACTCACTTTGGCAGATGAACTTGGGCAGATAACCCACTCTCTCTGGCCCTTCATGTCCTCATTTGTAAGTTAATGAGGGTGTACACAAAATAGGGTTGATTGAAAAATCATTGAGATAGCACACGTGAAGCATTTAGCAGACTGCCTGGCTGTGATGGTCGATTTTGTGTGACAACTTGACTGGGTTAAGGGAAAGTGATACCCAGATAGCTGGTAAAACATTTCTGGGTGTGTCCGTGAGGGCGTTTCTGGAAGGGATTCACATTTTAATTGGTAGACTGAGCAAAGAGGTGCCACCCTCACCAAAGCGGGTGGGCATCACACAATCCGTTGAAGGCCTGGATAGAACAAAAAGGGAGAGGAAGCACCAATTCACTCATTCTGCTTGCACTGCAACATCCACCTTCTCTTGCCCTTGGACATCCACATTCCTGGTTCTTGGGCCTTTGAACTCTGACTTCGACTTAAATCATTGACCACCCCCCCCCCCCCCCCCCCCAGTTGAGGCCCTTGGGTTTGGACTGAAACTCACTAACAGCTTTCCTGGGCTTCCAACTTGCAGAGGGAAAACTGGGAGGCTTCTTAGCCTCCATCATCTTGTGAGCCCATCCCTGATCTAAATCTCTTTCCATACATCTCTATATATCCTATCAGTTCCGTTTCTCTGAAGATCCCTGACTGACACACTGACACAAAATAAGCACTCAACAAATGTTATTATTCTTTTATTATTATCATAGCTGGAAAGGTCAGAGCCATCAGCCATGGCCCTTTGTCCAAACACATACATTCTGCTTTTGCTGCCTTAGTGCTAAAGGAAGCCTCAGGATGTAGAAATTGCATTGGCCTGGACATCAGGAAACCTGGGTGGAAATTCCAGTGATACTATTAATTCTCTGTGTGACCTCGGGTAAGTCACATCCCCTTCCTGGGGCTTAGATTCTCCAAGCTATAAAACAAGGAGCATTTCTTAACTTTTTTAGGTCATGAGTCAGGCCCCAACATGCTCTTAGTGAAGCTGATAAAAACTATAGATAATTTTCCTGGAGAAAAACTTAGTCTCCTTTACACAGAAACGTTTCTATATAAATCAAGAGGTTTTAGTGACCCCTCGGATTCTATTCATGACCCACAAATACCAGGTTAAGAATCCTTGCATTAGGTAAATTATAATGATAGCAGCAGCGGTGGTGGTAGGAAGAGCTAACACTTATCAAGTGCTTCTATGTGCCAGGAACTTGGTGTTTGTGTATACTGCCTTATTTACTCTTATGACCATCCTAGGAGGTGCCTTGTACTATTGTGGGAGGCTGAGTAATGGTCCCCCGTAGATGTCCCTGTCTGCTGCAACTTGTGAATATGCTACCTTACATGGAAAGAGGGACTTTGCAGATATAACTAAATGAGAGATCCTGAAGTGGGAAGATTATTTGGAATATCTGGGTGTGCCAAATATAATTACAAGGTCCCTATGAGAGGGAAGTAGTAAGGTTGGGGTGAGAGAAGACGAGATGATGATGAAAGCAGAGGGACGGAGGGTGATGTGATGATGAAAACAGAGGTCGGAGTGATGTGTGGCCATGAGCCAAGGAATGCAGGCAGCCTCTAGAAGCAGGAGAAGGCAAGAAGACAGATTTTCCCATAGAGCCTCTGGAAGGAATGCAGGCTGGCTGACCTATTTCAGACTTCTGAGCCTCAGAACTGTAAGACAATACATTTGTGCTGATGTTAGACTAAATTTGTGGTCATTTGTTACAGCACCAATAGGTCACTAATGCAACTACTGTTCCAAGTTGATGGGTGAAGAAGTCTCAGGGAGGTGAAGTTGTGGGCCCAGTATCAGGCAGTAAGGGGTGTAACAGATGCAAACTCATCATGGCTTCTCCACAGGTCCTTCCAGATCTAGAGGGAGAGGGATCTAGAGCCCTGGGAGATCCAGAAGCTGGGAGAAATTAGTTGGGCAAGGTGGCGCACACCTGTAATCCCAGATACTCCGGAGGCTGAGGCAAGAGAAGAGCTTGAACCCAGGAGGTGGAGGTTGTGGTGAGCCGAGACTGTGCCTCTGCACCTCTGCCCTGGGTGACACAGTGAGACTCATTCTCAAACAAACAAACAACAACAAAACAATAACAACAACAACAAAAATGTGGAGGGAGAAGCAAAGAGAAGAGAGGGAATGGAAGGAGGTGGGCACCAGACAGGGAGGATGGGGCTCTTCCTGCCTGAGGATTTCTCCTCCACAGCCTATCCCCCCCCAGTGATCACCTTTATGGCCAATCCGTTTTCCCAAACAGCATCGTATTGGCTCCCGTTGGGGTAGTACAGGGTTCCTTCACCATGAAACATGCCGTCCTTCATTTCCCCAACATATACTGTTTCAGTAGGGAGGATGTACTTGGCTTTGCCCTCCATCCTGTAAAGACACGGGGAAATCATTGAGCTCTTTGTGACAGCCGGAGCGTCGGGGCTGGCAGGGACAGAGCCAGCAGGAGCCCCATGCTCATCATCCTCGTCCTTATCGTCCCAGCAGTACTCTGCTGCAAACAAAATTTTTGTTTTGTTTCCCTCAAAAGCTCAAAAATGAAAAGAGGGGAGTAGAGTTTGGTCTGTTCATTCTCCCCTTCACCTAGGGGCTCACCCTCACCTTGGAGTTCTCACTGCCCCCTGAAATACATCCCGTTGGTAGGCCCAGAGAGTGTAGATATGTGTCCAAAGCCACACAGTAAAAGCTGTGGAGACTAGAGCCCAGGTTTTCTGGCAGCTGGTTCTGTAATTTATCTGTTCCCCCATGACCAACCCATCCTTGCCTATTATGCCACCAGTGGAATATTTGGAAAAATATGAAATTTAGAGATAGGAGATAAGAGTTTGAATCTTACTTCACCATTTTATAAATATATTATCTTGGATACTGATATGGTTTGGCTGTGTCCCCACCCAAATCTCATCTTGAATTGTAGCTCCCATAATCCCCACATGTCATGGGGGGACCAGGTGGGAGGTAATTGAATGATGTGGGTGGCTTTTTCCTGTTCTGTTCTTGTGATAGTGAACAAATCTCATGAGATCTGATGGTTTTATAAAGGGAAATTCCCCTTAACATGCTCTCTTGCCTGCTGCCATGTAAGATGTGACTTTGTTCCCCCTTTGCCTTCCACCATGATTGTGAGGCCTTCCCAGACATGTGGAACTGTAAGTCCATTAAACCTCTTTCCTTTATAGATTACCCAGTCTTGGGTATGTCATTATAGCAGTGTGAGAACGGACTAATAAATATACTTCCCCAAACCTCTTTGCTTGTGCCTCCCTCCCTTCCTTCTCTTCCTTCTTTCCTTCCTTCCCTTCTTTCCTTCCTAACAAATATTTACAGAGCACCTACATTTTGTCAGGGACTATGCTGATGGTCCAACCTGCTGAATACAATATAGATTCAACAGCGATCAAGGTAGATGCAGTCCCTGTCTTTGGGGGACACAACTAAGCAATTATACAATATGTGGTAAGTGCTGTGCAGGAGGAAGACAGGTCCATACAGGAGAACAAGGCGGGGACACCAGCTTGATAAGTTGATTAGTTTCTTTGTTTTGTGTTTTGTTTTTTTCAAGACAGGGTCTCACTCTGTCTCCCAGGCTGGAGTGCAGTGGTGCAATCATGGCTCAATGCAGCTTTAATCACCTGAACTCAAGTGATCCTCCCCCCTCAGCCTCCCAAGTAGCTGGGACCACAGGGTACCCCATCACACCCAGCTGGTTTAAAGATTTTTTTTTTTTTGTAGAGACAGGGTTTCTCTGTGTTGCCCAGGCTGATCTCAAACTCTTGAGCTCAAGTGATCCTGCCTCAGCCTCCCAAAGTGTTGGGATTACAGGTGTGAGCCACCGCACTGGGCTGGCCAGTTCCTTTATGGGTGAAATGGCTGGCATTAATCCAGATAACATATAATGATTTTCCCAGTAAAGGGCCTGACATATAGTGAGTGCTTAATAAATATGTTTTCATTCATTCCTTGTCCATTCCTCCCACAAGCTGAAGGCCTCTCCTAACTCTGATCTTCTTTAGGCTTTTGCTAGTACCTCTGTTGGGATGCATAACACTTTCTACCTTGTATCGTAATTAGATATCTTAGCTCCTGCATTGAATTAAAACTTCTTTAAAGGAAGACCTTGGTATCCTCAGCTCCTAGAACCACTAAGCAGGTGCTTCATAAATGTCTCCTGAGTAAAGAATGAAGGAAATAGAAAGACCAGTGAGTGAACAGAATGGACGACAAATTTGTTGAGATAGCTCAGTGAGATGATGGCTGTGAAACCATAGCGGAATGCCTGGCATAGAGCAAGAACTTGAAAACGATTTCGCTTTTGCTCTAGTGTCAGACATGGGGGGAAGGAAGAACCCCTCTTCTTCCCTCTGCTACTTTTTGCTCGAGCTCACATCTATCATTTCTAAGCACTGCCTCCATATTAAAGTTCCACACCCTTCTCTGAAGTCAGACTCAACCCTTTTTCTTACTTCGAACTGGACATCACTATTCAGACCTCTCACAGACATCTCCAACTCGCCTAATACAGAACTCATCCCCTCCTCCCCTAAGCAGCACCTCCTTAGAGCTCTCTACTTCCATGAATGCTATCAGAATCCTCTGGTTCAAGGCCAGGAGCTGGGCCCTGGGCTGGGGCTGTAAGTCATCTCTGGACAGGACTGGAGCCAATCAGCTGCCAACTCCTAGCAGTAAAATCCCCAAATTTCTCCTGCATTTTTCTTTCCTGTAGCTCCACTGCCTCTGCCTTGGCCCAGGGTTCTGCTGCCTCTTATTGGGACAACTGCAATGAGCTCTGATTTGATCTCCCCATCTATACTTATCCTGCCTCCCTCCTCTCTCTCCCTCCCTCTCTCCTTCTCCTCCCTCCTTCTTTTTATCCTTTCCTCTCTCTCTCCTTCCCTTCCTTTTTTTCCTTCCTTCTCTTCCATTTAAAAAAATTCATTCAAGGTGAAAAGCCTGCCTTGTAAATTCAAAGTAAGTTAAAAAGAAGAAAAAAGCCACTTTATAATGAAGACTTCAATCCATAATAAGGATATGATTACCAGATCTCAAATACCTATCAGATTAGCTGGGCATGGTCGTGCATGTCTGTGGTCCCAGCTACTTGGGAGGCTGAGGTGGGAGGATCGCTTGAGTCTGTGGGGAGGAAGTGGGGGGAACAGAGGTGGTAGACGTTGCAGTGAGCCAAGACTGCACCAGTGCACTCCAGCCGGGATGACAGAGTGAGACCCTGTCTCAAAAAACAAAAACAACTTATCATTCATTCAGCCAACATTTACTGAGTCCCTACCACATATATGCACCATGAGGAGAGATACACAGATGAAATAAGTTTTATTTCCTGATGCTTGGCTCTACCAAGCGTCTATCAGTGGTTCTTCCACCTCCAGAATTGTGCATGGTATTGACATTTTTTTGCCAGAGTACAGACTGCCTGTCCAACTTCCCCTCGCATGGCTCCTCCTGGCACAACCTGCTCTCCTCACAAACTGGACTGCCCGCTCTAGTTTATACATGCCCTCTGCTTAGAAACATTCTTCACCTTGCATCTCCAATCACCTAAATCCTACCCAACCTTCAAGGCCCATTTCAAATGTTATCTCTTCCATGAAGCCTTTAAGGATGGCTCCATCTGTATGTGTCCTCTGAAGAGGCCCAGCAGCAGGGCTCTACTGTAGGAAGCACATGGGCTTTGGAGTCTGACAGACCTGGGTTTTAATATCTGCTTTGCCAAATGCTAACTAGGTGACTTTGGGCAAGTTATATAATTCCTCTGAGCCTTAGTTTTTCCCATCTGTAAAACAAGATGATGATATCTATCTTAAAGAGTCCCTGTGAAGAGAAGATGCAGGCAAAGCCACTTACAGCACAGTAGTTGCTACACAAGTGCTAGTGGCATTCCTTCCTCCCCTGTGTCTGTAGGTCTTTTTGGCACTTACCTTGTGGTGCTTTGCAATGGAGTTATCTAGAACTCAATTGTGTGACTACTCCAAAGAAACTGTGATATTGAGGTCAGATGGATCCTACATTAACTTTTAATTTTTTTAATATTCACACATGGTACGGGGAAATCGTGTCTCTTTCAAGTTTTTTTTTTAAAGCAGATTTATTGAAGTGTAATTGGCATACAATAAGCCATATGTTTAAAATATACAGTTTGATATATTTTATCATCCACCTGGGAAACCATCATCACAGTCAAGACAACATATCTATTCCCCCAAAAGTTTCTGCATGCCCTTCTGTGACACTTCCTCCTTGCCCCTGCCCACAATCCTCATCTCTAGGCAACCACTGACATGCTTTCTGTCACCATAGATTTGCATTTTCTAGAATTTGACATAAATGGAATCATACAGTATCTACTCTTTCTTTGTCTGGCTTCTTTCACTTAGCATAATTTTTTTGAGATTCATTCATGTTGTTCTGTGTACTGATAGTTCACTCCTTTTTATTGCTGAGTAGTATTCCAATGAATGGATATACCACAATTAGTTTCTTCATTCCCCTATTGATGACATTTCAGTTTGTTTCTAGTTTTGATTATTATAAAGGTTGCTATGAATACTTGTATACATGTCTGTGTATAGATAAACACTTTCATTTCTGGGGTAAATACCTATGAGTAGAATGGTGGTTTAACTTTTTAAGAAACTGCCAAACTTTTCCAAAGCAGTTGTACCTTTTTGACATTCCCATCAGCTGTGGGGAGTTTATATAGGCTTTTTAAATCAAATGTTAGATATCAACTTCCTACTGTATAGAGAAGTTATTCTATTCATTTAAGCTCCAAAAGGAAAATATCCCCTCCCCAAATTAAAAAAAATCTACTGTCTACCATATATAAATAACATCTATATATGATCATGATGTATTCCTCAGAACACTGCTGCTGAACATTCAGCATTGCCTTCCCATTTTTCAGATGAGGAAACTGAGGTGTGGATGGTTAATTAAACAAGAAGCAAGTGGCAGAGTTGAGCCCAGACCTGTCTCATGCTGAAGACTTTTTTCCTCTACTATGTTGTCTCTCTTTCTTACATGCTGAAATTTGAGATGCCCCAAATAGAACTCTAGTTAACTGTTGTTAAAAAGAACAAAATCAACATCGAACACATGTCCAACTTATGAAAATAAGTATAACAAGTGAAAAACTGCTGACTTCTTGCTAGTTATGGGAAGTTGGGAAGTTCTGTTCAGGTCTGGGAATCCCTATTATGGTTACAGAGGTACCAAACAACCCCAAGCAAAACCCAAATTCCTAGGGACAGAAGCATGGACATGGCTAATATGATATACAAACCCAATGAAAAATACACAGAAGGCCAAAGGCAAATGGTTGAATGTCTTCCTTCTTACCTCGTCTGTGTGCTTCTCTCTCACGCATACACAGCCCATTGAAAATTAATGTAGTTTCTCAACTTTTTGTATTAAAATGTCCAATACCCCATATCTATCTGCTAAAATTTTACCACCTTCACTGTAGCAGAGCCTTGTGAAAAGTAAGAACGTGGTTTGGACAGAGGATTGGGTTCAAATCCTGACTCCATTACCTCCTAGTTGTGTATCCATAATGGCGGGCAAGTCATTTTGCTTCTCTTAACTTCTGTTCCTTCATTTGCAAGGTCAGCCTGAACGATCTCACTGAATAGTGAGATGGGGCACACAGCAAGCACCTCTGCCACTTACCTGCTAATTAGGACAAGTGTCTCAAGCCCTGTAAAGGTCACCTTTCTTACCCAGAAAGATAATAACATATTCCTTGCAAGACTGATATAAGGATTAGAGATAGCATCTCACAGCATCCCTACCACCTTCTTCTAGGAATCTATCCCCTATCCCTGCCCAGACCACAGATCCCTTTTTCCTATGAACTCAAAATGCCCCTGAAGTCCACCAACTTGTGAATACAGGGCTCAGGTGGGAGTGCTTTACAGTCCTGACAACTAGCACTAGATTGGCAAACCACTTCATGTTGTCCAGCCTTAGTTTCCTCAACTATAAAAACAGAGATTCCGCTTTCTTCATCCAGGGTGGTTGGCAAGAAAGAGTGGCCACTTCTGTGTTCCTCTGCTTCTCTCTACCACAGCTCTTACCACAATGAATTGCAATTATCTCTTATGTCTACTTGCCCCACCACGTTTGGATGAACTTTCTGAGGATTTCAGGGATTGTGCCCAGAGTCAATTCCAGGACCTGGTACTCAGTAACCACCCAACATTGTTGAATTGCTGAGCATGGTGGCTTATGCAAGAGGATCACTTGAGACCAGGAGTACGAGACCAGCTTGGACAACACAGCAAGACCTGGTCTCTACAAAAGGCATTTAAAAATTAGCTGGGGGTAGTGGTGCACACCTGAAGTCCTAGCTACTTGGGAGGCTGAGGTGGGAAGAATGTTTGAGCCTAGGGAGTCAAGGCTGCTGTAAGCAGTGAACAGGCCACTGCACTCCAGTCAGGGCAACAGAGTGAGATCTTGTTTCAAAACAAAACAAAAACAATAAATAAATAAATAAATAAACCTGTTGAATTGTTTTTACCACTAGTCCACTACAGTGACTTTTGTATATAATCCTCTATAATAATCCCTAGACTGTGAACTGTGAACTCCTGGAGGGAGGCAACTATGATTGGCCACAGTCTCTCTTCCCCAATCTTTGTGTTTGTTTTCATAGCATTTACCACTATCTGTAATTATTTTATCACTTATTTGTTTATTGGCAATACATCTCCAACTGGATTATAAACTCCATAAGAGCAAGGATCTTGACATTTTAAATATTCTTATTCCTATATCTAAAACTGGCAGAGAGCATACACATACACAGAGTATATACGGAATGAATGCATCTCAGCTTTGCTGTTTATTAGATATGGTCCCTGAGAAAATTACTCGGGCAAGTTTGCGAAAGTGCCTGGTACAAGGTGTTTCGAAGAAGCCACAGCTATTCAAGGTCTAGTGAGTGAATCAAATGAGGCCCTTACCTCCCATCTACATATTCCCCGATATATTTGCTCCCTGTGTACTCCATGGCGGCTGTTTTTAGCTTCCAGCTGTTAGGATCCGGAGTCTCAGTGGATATGGCATCACTATGACAACTAGGAGGGGTGGGCGGAGCCGAATCGAAGCCCCGCCCCCACGGAGACGGCAAGCTTCTTGGTATTGCGCACGCTCCCTCGTTCTCAGTAGGGTAGAGCAGTGCGCCTGCGTGTTGCCGGCTGCGCATGCGCAGGTGCCGTGTGGCGCTCGGCGGTCGAAAGGGGAGTTCAAGGAGACGGGGGCGACTCGGCTGAGGGCTCCTCGTCGGGGTCAGGGCTGCAGCAGTCATGCCGGGGATAGTGGAGCTGCCCACTCTAGAGGAGCTGAAAGTGGAAGAGGTGAGGCTGTCCGGAGGACAGGCAAGGGAGACATGGGGTTGCGGCTTCTCGGGCCTGGGCCCAGCCCCGCTTGTGCTCAGCGGACCCTGGGCCCCGGGCCCTCCTCCGCAGTCCCCAGCACATATACAGGTCGACCCCCGGAGGTCCCCTCCGCAGCTTTGGGAGTTGCCTCTCCTCTCCACCTCACCCTGTCACATCCTGCAGTGGCCCTAGGATTCTCCCCCTTTCGCCCTCCACAGCGACCTGCTTCCCCTTCCGTGAATAATAGTGATACTTTTTATTAAGCACCAACCAGAGTCATTTTACTTAGCTTATGTGGCTTAATCCTTAAACTTGCATGCGAAGTGAGTATACAGCCCTAGGTGCTCACAGTCGAGGGAGACCTTCACCTACCTTAAAGTGGTGTCACCGGTCCAGAGTGCATAGTGGGGCAAGGAGGTCGCGGGAAAATGAGATGGTATTCGAGCGTGCATCTACTCACAGCCATGGGAAGGTGTTTGGTAACAGGATTCATTTAAAGCATTCGTTTATTCAAGAGATATCATTTGAGTAATTAACATGTGCCCATAATGCTGGAAGACATATACTTCCTGCTTTCCTGGAGTTTACAATCTAGTAGGGAGACAGACACATAAAGGGGCAATCACAGCACAGTGTAGTTAGTGCTGTAAGAAGTGAAGTAGAAACACACCCTACTAATTATAGCTGACATGATCAAGCCCTTTCTAGATTCCAGGCATGCTGCTAATTTCTTTCTATGCATTAATTCATTGAATCCTCTCAGCAACACTATAAGGTAGGATATACACAATTGATCTTAACATATTATAAATAAAGAATTAGGCCCCGAGAGTAGAAATGATTTGCCCAGGGTCACGGAGCACGTAAGTAGTAGAACTGGAAGTGAACCCAGGTCTGATTTTAAAACCAATGCCTTTCCAGTATATTATGGGTGAAAGCTCAAAAGAATGGGAAGGCCTAACAGAACTGGTGTGTTTAGGGAGCCAAGTACAGTTTGATGTGACGCCAGTGGTGGTGAGAAGCAGCAGGTGCTGAGCCTGGAGAAGCAACTTGGGCTGAGATAGGACTTGGAAGTAGCTTCCACAAGGTCAGACCAAACAGTTTGGACTTTATCCAGTAAGGGAGGTGGTAGGAAGAGGTGGAAGGTTTTAAGGCAGGGGAGTGTCATGGCAGGGCTGGATAGTAGAACAGGCTATATTAAAGAGAAGAAGGCCAAGACTAGAAATGATGTGCTAGAAACGCTATACTAGGCTCTACGGTAAGTGTTTTACCTGCCGTGCTTCGTTTTGTCTTAGATGCCTGTGAGAGTGGCAACTGCTATTTTCCTCAGAGGAAGAAATTATTAGCTATGTTCAGGGACTTTATGATATTAAAGCGACATGTACTCTGAGGTGGCAGAGGGGAACTGCCATGTGGCCACCAGTCTTTTGTCATCCCCCTCCACCCCTGGGTTAATCCTGAGTTGCTGTATTTTTTGTTGCAGTTTTTATTTGGTTCAACCAACATCTGAGGTTCTACTTCATACAACTGATACATCTGGAATAAATTTGCCTTTAGGGTTCACACAATTGAATGAACATACAGATAATTAAATAACTATACAAGACAGATGTGATTAAATACTGTGAAAGGGGGCAGATGTGGTTTAAGAAAAGAAGATTTGGACATGCTGTGGTGGCTCATGCCTGTAATCCCAGCACCTTGGGAGGCTGAAGCGGGCAGATCATGAGGTCAGGAGTTCGAGACCAGCCTGGCCAACATGGTCAAACCCCATCTCTACTAAAAATACAAAATTAATCGGGTATGGTGGCCCATGCCTGTAATCCCAGCTACTTGGGAGGCTGAGGCAGGAGAATTGCTTGAACCTGAGAGGTGGAGGTTGCGGTGAACTGAAATCACGCCATTGCACTCCAGTGTGGGCAACAAGAGCAAAACTCCATCACACACACACACACACACACACACACACACACACACACACACACAGAGAGAGAGAGAGAGAGAGAGAGAGAGAGAGAGAGGGAGGGAGGGAGGGAGGGACAAAAAAACCAAAGAAGAGAAGATTTGAAGTTGGATCTAAATTCTAGGCCTACCTGCCAGTCACCTTGATTACTTGATTTTAGCATTTGGAGACAGACATGGTTATTTGTAAGATGAGGTGACCCGAGCTCTAAAATTATTTGAAGCTATAAAGGGAGTAGAGAAAGCACTTTTGGGGCATAATGTGAGGCATGGCTAAATGGCATTTAAGGGCAGAGATGGAGAGAAGATCCTTGTAAGTTAGGAAGGGTCTGAGCAGAAGTAAGGAGATGGGAAAATTCAGGGAGCCAAAAAGGAGTTCAGTGTTTTTTTGTTTTTAAAGTGACAGAGTCTTACTCTGTAGCCCACGCTGGAGTGCAGTGGTGCGATCTTGGCTCACTGCACCCTCTGCCTCCCTGATCTCGGTTCAAGCAATTCTCCTGCCTCAGCCTCCTGAGTAGCTGGGATTACAGGCATGCGTCACCATGCCCAGCTAATTTTTGTATTTTTAGAAGAGATGGGGCTTCACCATGTTGGCCAGGCTGGTCTTGAACTCCTGACCTTGTGATCCACCCGCCTTGGCCTCCCAAAGTGCTGATATTACAGGAATGAGCCACTGTGCCCGGCAAAGAGTTCAGTGTTTTGAAAGAATAGTAAATAGTCCCTTTTTGAAGTGTTGTGGCTGAGAAGGCTGGAAAGATAGTTTGGGTCCAGAAGCCTGTCAATACACGTTAAGAAGTTTAGGCTTTATTCTGCTGTTAAGGCCAAATGAGAGTTTAGTTGCTAATTTAATAGCAGAGTAAAGTAAGAATTATCATTTAGGAAGATCACTCTAGCAGCTTTGTGAAAAATGGATTGAAGAAAAGAAAAGCAGGGAGACTGGTCGCAGTGGCTCTTAAGATTATTGAGAAAGCTGTTAATGATCCCAGTGTAATTGGTGCTTACAGAGACTGTGCTTACAGAGAGGAAAGAATATCTAGAATTGATCAGACTTAGCAATAGATTAGATATTGGAGGCAGGGAAGGTTGAAGAATCAATGTCAGATTTGCAGCATGACAATTCTGCATGTTTAAGGAGGCAAGGACAGGACTAGAAGGTTGATTGGCTCCAGATGGTGACTTCGTCTCACTTTCCACACCTGCAGACTGTGTAACCCTGCTGTGCAGTGAGGCTGTTGTGAGAACAAATGAGAAAAGAGGTTGAAATTCTGTGTTCTGTGAGACAAAGAGAGCTGAATGAATTTGAGAGGGTATTCACGGTAAACAGCTGTAAAAGGAGTTGTTTCTGTTGGAATTCATCAGTCTTAGTGAAGAAGCAGGTGAGGGGATATGGTGACATCTCAGGTTCATCCACCTCAGTGATGGTGATATAATGGGAGGAAGCCTGATTGGAGGTCACGGTCTCTGTGTTCCAGTTCTGGGGTTGCCACTGACTTGCTGTGTTGCCTCTAGCACATCCCTTCCTTTTTCTCATCAATTACAAAACAGATTGAGTGTCTTCCTTTGTTTTCCTGTGACAGGTATGGTGTTTTATACGCTCAATGACGTGAGTTTGTCTTCATTTTGGTAAGACTTCCACATTTGTAAGGAGATAAATAATGCAGCAGGCTTTTTGGCCTCATAGCTTTGGGCATTTGAATAATTGAATCAGCCACTTAAAGCTATTTTAAGACATATGACAAGTAAATATAACTAACTTAATTATTAAAATAAGCTTTTTAAAAAGTTTGAGTGTTAGTTTTTATTCTCCTAGCTGCTTATAGGTAATAAAGCAAATGTGTGCCACTCAGTTTACCTTAATACATTATTTTCAAAAACTTCAATGCGAAATCGTTATAGATTTTAAACATAAATTTATTAGAGTCATCATGGCAGATTTCACTTATCTCAAAATTTTATCTTTGCTTTGATAATTATAACAGTTGCACTATTAATAGACATAGTCATAGCTTTATTCTTCTTTCTATAGTGTGTAGATGAAATTCCTGTCACCTTTCCTTGCTTTTTATTAATAACTTAGCTGTGTAAAATACATAAAAAATAAAATTACAGACTGTTGTCACACAAAAATTTTTAATTTTACAAATCAAATTCAGAAGTGTATTAAAGCATAATACACTGTGACAGACTAGATTTTATTCTAGAAATACAGTGGATCAGTTTTACAAAATCGGTTAATGCTCTATGTTACATTTATAAATTAATGAAAATGAAGCCTAAAAATTTTAGTCTTTTCCGGTATAGAAAACAACAGCAAAGCAAAACTAATTAGAATTAGAAAGAAGCTTTCTTAACAAGGAATATCCAAACAACTCTATCCCAGATACCAACAGCAAATATTATACCAAACTGTGCTTTAAATTTTAGAAAAAGGCAAGGTTGTCTGCTGTCATTGCTCTTCATCTGTATTGTCCTGAAGGGTTTGGTCAAAGCAATAAAATAGGAAATGAGAATAAGAAGAAAAAAATTAAAGTATCAGAAAGGAAAGAGTTTTTATTTGTAAATGGAATATTTTCTGTTAATCCTCTTGAGTTTTGTATCAGAACTAACAGGAGTTCAGTAAGATGGCTGGAGAGAATGTACAGGCAAACAGTAAACAGTTTGAAAACCTAACAGAAAAACTGTCCTATTTAGATAGTATCAAAAGTGCTAAAATACTGAGGAATGAACAACAAATGTTCAAGGTCCCTTTAA